TAAAAGCCTTCCCCCAACCTGACCCAAGATTAGGAGTGGCCATGAGTCGATCTCTTTACGAGCTATTCGAATTCGGCTTGGCTCGGTTCTAACCAAGCTTCGAGTCGAGTTCGAGCCCAATTTACAAGCTCGATTAATAAACGAGCCGAGCTCGAGCCTAATAGAGTTCAGCTCATGAAGCTCGCAAGCTGAGATCGAATATATATAATAAAAATATTATAATTCTTAATTATTTAAATATCAAATAAAAAATATTTTTATATATAATTTTTTATTTTTATAAAACATTTTTTCTCAAATCGAGCTCAAGCCGAACCAAACTCGAGCTCGAGCCTTGTCCTACCTTGGCGAGCTGAGCTCAAGCCTCATACTATTCATCTCGGTTCGGCTTGGCTCGAATCAACCCCTACCCAAGACCACCGAATTCCCACTATTATCGGATCCCATCCAGCTAATGTACGCCCTTACAGATACCTCCAGTTCCAAAAGGAGGAGATAGAGAAGATTGTCTTTGAACTCCTAGAAAAACAACACATCTAGCCCAATAAAAGCCCTTATTCCTCCCATGTCCTCTTGATCAAAAAGAAAAATGGAGCATGAAGATTCTGTATAGACTATATAGAGCATTAAACAACATCACCATCAAGGATCGCTTTCCCATCCCACTCGTTGACGAACTTATAGATGAATTAAAGGGAGTGAGGGTGTTTTCCAAGTTAGATCTGAGATCAGGGTACCACCAAATAAGGGTCCACCCTGATGATGTTCCCAAAATGGCTTTTCAGACCCACTATGGATATTATTAGTTCCTTGGGCTGACAAATGCTCCTTCGACGTTTTAGGCTGTGATGAATGAAGTGTTTAGACCCCACCTTTGAAAGTTTATTCTGGTCTTCTTTGATGATATCTGATATACATTTCAGATTGGCCCATTCACCTCCAGCATTTATCCACCACCTTGGACCTTCTGAGGCAACATCACTTCTTTGTTAAGGCATCCAAGTCTAGCTTTGGATAGAACCAGATTGGTTATTTGGGTCACATCGTTACTGATGATGAATTGGCCCCTACCCAAGACACAAAAGGGTCTGCAGGGATTTTTGGGCTTTACTGGCTACTATCACAGATTCATAAGAGACTGGATCTGCTCCTCACATAGGGGGCCTCACACGCACATCCTATCATGTATTGGGAACATCTCCCATGCACGGTGGATGTGCATGTGAGGCGCTCAAGTGTGAGGAGCAGATCCCATTCTGATTCATAAAGGGATATGGGTTGTTAGCAGCCCCACTTATGACTTACCAAATTACTCCACAAGGACTCCGTTGAGTGGGCTTTACAGGCCCAACAAGCTTTTGATAAATTAAAACAAGCCATCACTTCTCTAGCATTGGTCTTACCAGATTCCTCAAAGGTGTTTGTAATTGAGTGTGATGCATCCGGGACTGGATTGGGTGCCATCCTAATGCAAGAGGGTCAGCCCTTGGCCTTGTCTCCCAGGCTCAGGCTAAATCAATCTACGAAAAAGGAGTTACTAGTTATTGTGTCTGTAGTTCACAAATGGAGACCTTATCTTCTGGGTCAATGATTCATTATACGAACTGACCAACGAAGCCTCAAGCACTTGCTGGAGCAACGTATCCACACTACTGAACTGGCCCATTTGGGCATGCAAGGCGGTTGATGCTCTCTCACGCATGCCAGAAATGGCCCATTTGGGCATTTCCAAGCCCAACTTTCCCCTTATGGATCAGATCCGGCAAGAAGCCCAAGAAGATTCGGTTCTATCACAGATCTCGGCCAGCTTACTCCAAGATCCCTTATCCTATCCAGGGTACTCTCTGGCTGGGAACACGTTGCTCTACAAGGGGTAGATGGTGATACCAGTGGCCTCCGAGTTCATCCTAGAATTGTTGGAATTACTTCATGACAGTCCCTTAGGAGGACATTTTGGCATATTGCGGACTTACCGCCGGCTAGCAGCCTAGTTCTATTGGCCTTCAATGAAGAAGAAAATCCGAGAGTACGTGGCTTCTTGCAGGGTTTGCCAACAGCAAAAATATGAAGCTCAAGTTCCCGCTAGGCAGAACCCTAACACAATGAAATCAAGCGAGAGAAAAACAACTAGTGCTTTCCTTGTAGATATTGTATAAGAGCAAGTTAACTAGAGTCATTTTGTTAAAAAGACCCTTAAGTTTCAATAATTTTAGAGGTGAAAAAAGTCGAGAAGTCTTGAGCTTATGCGGTCTCACCCATCTATTGTAGACCTCTTCATTGAGATGAGTATCTATAGAGAAACTTTAGCAACTAAATAGTTTGAGCTTTGTATTATTATGTCTACCTATTTAAAGGCTTCTCTTCTTGTAAACCTCCTCGAGCTAAAAATAGTATTATCTTTAAGCAAGTAGATGTTCATGTTTTGAATACCATTAGTCTCGTTGGCACCTCTATTAAGCCCAACTACAAGGTCTGACTGCCACCCAAACGTCCTACTGGTTAGGTCTTGTTGGCACCCGTAAAGTTCAACGGGTTTAAGTTTTGTAAACACCCATGAAGTCCTACTAGTTGTTAAGGCTTTGGCACTTAGGAAGTCCAACTAGTTAGTGGAAATCCTTGGTAGTAGTTTGAGGTAGAAGACATAGGTAGGTTTGGTTAAGCCTTTATAAAATTCTTGTGCATTTTATAAATTTTATTTTTAAATTTTGTAGTTTATTTATTTACTAACATTCTCTCATAATTGCAATAACTTGAATTCTTGAGATCTTGCAAATTAAACATTGCACATATTTTGTTTTTTTTTTCTTTAGATATGCAAGATACAAGATCATTTAGTGCAGTTATTGAGCTACTAACCCTACTAACATTTACTAACTCAACTAACTCCTTGGTTCAAAATCTAGGGATTCTTACTAACATCTTCTAACCGCTAACCATTTATTATAACTGCTCTATATTTACATTTACATTTGCAATTGTTTATCTTTATTATTCATTTATTATTCAACTATATTTACATTTTGCAATTAGATATGTCTTTGTAATTCCAATAAAAGTCTAACAATTGCTTGAATCTCAAGTTGATATTAGTTCAATAGTTGGTCCTTATCTCAACTACCTTCTTATAGCTGGTTCTTTTCTCAATTACCCATTAGTATGGTCCTCTCTCTTTAGCTGTTAATCCAAGCACATACCACCAATGCAACTGCCATTTAAATTTTAGTCTATTTACTTTCACTACCATTTCTACAGTGTTTATATTTACTTTGAGTGTTTATATTTGATTGCTATATTGCATTTCACCTGCTATCATCTTGTTAGTGGTTTATTTGTTATTATTGTTTATATCTCTTTTAACTACTAACCCTTGCAGCTCATGTTATTATATTGTCTATCTATTCTTTAGCTACAACTCTTGTTTCAACAGTTAGGTTAATCATTGAGACTAACATCTTGATTAAGTGGTACTAAATTGACTAAGCATTTATTCTATTGTATTTTGATTTTGATTATCAAGAAGAGTTAGCTTCAGTTTTATTTGAGCTTGACTTGTTCATAGTCAAATTTTTAAAGCTCTACCCAATTCATCTCCTCTCTTGGGTAAGGCTATCGATCCCAACAAGGGAGTCGATCCTTAGGTTACCAAACTTTTATAAACATACTTTTTTTTTTTTTGCAATTTTTTACTTGAGTTATAATCCAAGAAAAAAACCTTAGGCCCTTCCTATTTTAATCATTGGTCTCTAAGATTGTGTGATAAACTAAAGTAGGTCTGAGATAAGCCATTATAGTGTGCATGCAACTAATTACATTTTCTTCTCTTAGACAATACTTGGTCCATTTAAGAAAACACATTAGATGTCTACAAAGTTATACTCTAAACATTAGTACTTTCAATGAATTTATTATCATCAAAATGCATAATACCAACATTAGTTTGATAGAATTCTCCCATGGATTGGCTTGAAACATATATTTATAATTTCCTTTCTAATTAATGTTATTTTTCTTTTATCTATCAGAAAATCTAATTGGGAATGTCCTAAGTTTCTTTCTAACTTGATTTTGCTTAACAAAACTCACATTAAAGCCCATGGAGCTGCTTCTTTGGGCTTCTCTTCTCCCCAAGACTGGTTTGGGTATTGTCCTTTCTGGCTTCACCTGTGTTAGATTTAAACTGTGGTGGTTTTCGTAGGAGGGTTGGTTAGTTTGTTTTCTTGTTTTGTTTTGTTTTGTTTTGTTTTTATTGCAAGTGAGACCGGTTTCAGTCAGTGCAATGTGCATTCCAATAGTTTTTACAGTCTTGTATTGGGAATATCTTCATATTTACGTGCTTTATTTCATGGGAAGATATTCCCAATGCAAGACTGCAAGAGGCCATTCAAAGGGTGTGAGCATGGATTTGCACTGACTGAAGCCGAACTTGTTGTAAGCGTGTTGCTTTTCTTTTGCTTTGCTTGTTTTTCTTTCCATACTACTTGTCTTAGGCTAAGTTTGGGAGTGCTTATTTGAATAAGCACCGGAATATACCAATAAACACTTATTTGTATTTTGAAAATAAGTCTGAAATAACTGCTTATTCGATAAATCCAAAATTTGGGCTTATTTTATAATTGATTTTTTATTTCCTTTTTGCCCTATCTCGACCCGCCATACCATTTTAAAAAATGCCTACAAAACCCCTGTTTTTCTCTAAACGCTCATAAGTGTTTTTAAATAAACACTTATTTTTTAAATAATCATTCCCAAACGTTTATTCTTAACAAAATTGCTTTTTTTTTACCCCAAAAAAAAAACACTCGTACGTTACACGGGTCACAATTGATTACTCTGGACATTCGTGGAACTCCCACTCATGGCTCACTGCTGCTTCCAGACCGTTCCAAAGTATTCGAATCCATCTTTTATCCTCCACGTGTCCGGAAGCTTCTGTCTGGCCCCACTTTCTCAGCCACCAACTCCCTTTATATATTCGTTACTTGATATGTGGAGTTCAGGCATCTAGTTTCAGGCTTCCAACTTTTGCTTGATTTTACACAATTTCGTTTCAGTTCTGTTAAGGCTTATTAGCATCTTCACTCTGCAGATTTCTTCTCCATCGATCATGGTTTCAAGGGCGACGGTGAGATCCTATCTACAGTGACTACACCGTCGATTTAGATGACTTCTTATCTTTGAGCAGTTGTCTGATCATCATACATTATGTAGGGTTATTGGAGATCAATGTTGTGTCGGATTGGAGGGCACCGTCCGTTCGCCACGTGGACCACGCCAACGATGAAGCCTTTCGCACCACCGTCCGATGCTGCTCTCTCCCAAGCCCTGCACTCCAAGACAAGCAGGTTAGTTTAGTTATTGCCTACTGTTATCGTTGTCGTGTTGACCGGAAGTGATATATTCTGTTTGTACGTTGGAGATTAGGCAGGTGAAAGGGGATTTGGTTCCTGTGTACGTAGCGTTGGGGATGATAATGTTATCGGTGTCTCTGGGGCTTTACACAGCAAAACATGAGCTTCTGTACTCGCCGACGGTGTACGTGAGGAAGAAGAAGAGGGAGACTCTGCCGGAGTTAGAAGATCCCGATCATGTGGTGGATGAAGCTGATAAATTCGTCAAAAAGTCTCTGTTCAGGAAGGCGGCCCACATCCAGGATGATAAGGAGGAGACCATCCCTAATCCCATGAGGGGAGACCCATTTAACAGGTAACTTGGATGTTCTAGCACCGGGTTTTTGTTAGATTGATGATGACCGTCAGTGGAAGCATAGACGACGGTGATTATTAATGGGTCCCACCACCATCCGTGTAAAATTCACTCTCGTATGTGGCGAACGGACGGCTGGGATCAATGGTGTAGGAGATTTGTTGTGGTTCTTCATTTGGTTGATCTAACGATTATTTATGTTGTGCTTTAATGCAGCCCACGAAGGGTGGAGACTCTGAAGTCGATTGGTGTGGAGCTGTAAATTATGTACATAGTTGTATTTGGACACATTGTGTAAACCGTAAATGGTGCAAGTGTAGCATAATGTCCGGGGGTAAATGTTGGGGTCCCGTGCGGCACTCGAAATGGGCTTAAATGGGCGAATAAGCCTATGAAATAAAGCAAATACATACAAAGGTAACAAGAAGACACACGAATTAGTAAAAGGTTACTTGTATTGCATTAATCGGTGGTAAGTACAAGTACACAGTACAGTGTCGAGGGGATTTCATGCTTAACCTTTACACGTTTATGAGTTCACTCGACTATCTACCTCCCCTCAAAGAGTACGTTAAGCTTTTGGGGGAGTGACAATAAGAAACGTCAAAAAGATGAAAAAGCATACTACAATATTACCATTGACAGTCCCCCATACAAAAGTACATGTTTAGCCCACTCATTGCACACACTTGAATGTTGGAGTTGCGGCTGTAGGCACAATAGATGGCACTTGATGGCGCGTCGAAGAGAACACTTGTTACAATACGGCGAATTAGTGGTTCATTTGGACGTTGTTTGAAGGAGTAGCATACGACGTTGTAAGCTCTTTTTCTAAGGATGGTAAAACAAATCAAATATCATTTTGTATAAATTAATTATAAATAGTGTATGGTTAGAGCTGTGAACAATCAGTTCAGAAGCCCCCGTGAATTGAGTTAGCGGTTGTGGTCATGAGTGTTTTATTATTATTATTATTATTATTATTATTATTATTATTATTATTATTATTATTTGTAATTAACAGTAAAGGCTGTTTAGGTCATGTTTGGCATGAATGTTGATTTTTGTTTATCGATTTTTTTTTATAAAATTGTGTTAGATATCATATTTGGTAGATTCGGGTTGATAATTTTTATATTAAAGTTATTATTTAATGTGATGTTAGATATCATGTGATTCTTCAAAATAGAAATAAAAAATAAAAAAAAAAGATTGTTGAAAAGGGTTGATTTCAAAAATCGAATTTTGACCAATTTTCTGAAAATCACAAAAATCAGCAAATCAAACAGAAATTTTAGCATCTATTCCTCCAGAACCGATGTGGCATCAATATCTCAGTAATCTTTAGCAAATCGACGTCGATATCATTAACAGAGAAGTTGCCGTTTTAATATTATTCGCAGTGAAGGCTATTTTTAGTCATGAGTGGCAAAGGCTCTGCTAATCGTCCAATATGAAAAAGTGGCTCAGTATCAGTTCATTTTTCGCTAGTGCGTATGGTCATTGAATCAAACGTTGTACCTATGTCTGGCTTTATAAAGAGATCTTAGGGTCCGTTTCGTTTGCAGTCGGAATTGGAATTCAAATTAAAATTTTTTAGAATTTAAAGGAATAGTCTATTCCTAAAATTTGTTTCATTCAGACAGGAATAGAAATAAAAATTGTAATTAGCAAGGATGGGATTTTTATTCACCAAACAGTTGAAACTGGAATATCCAATTCCGATTTTGATTTCAGACCTTTATTCCAGGGGCTTAGATCTTTCCACATACAAATGGCAGGAAAAGGAAGAAAAAATGTAGGGAAACTCTTATAAATCTTATATAGGTTTTCTTAACTTTCACTTTAAAACACCTTGGGGAAGGTCTAGTTATGACTTGGGCCAAATGATTCGTGTTTCTGTGGGCATGCTGAAAAGTCCAATTGGCCTGTGATCTAGCAATGTAACAGATATCCTGATAACACAAGACAAAGCAGAAACATCAAGGAATAAACTAAAGTTATTGAGAACCTTTGGCCTCTCTTCTTGGATACTAAAGAAACAAGGGAACCAATAGATCAATGACCATGTCTGCTTTTCCCAAAGCTTGAAAACTCAATTGAATTTGTCCTTTGAGAAATGAATATAATACAATTTAGGCCATGTTTTTGCTTTTAGGGAAGTTAGTTATCTGGGTAAGTGTTTCTTCATAAATACTTACTTGAGTAAGCACATTTACCCATTTTTATTTCTCAAGTAAATTAGATAATGACTATTTTAGCCATAAAAAGCTATTATTAAAAAAGGCAATTTTGTCTCATCCAAGTGTTGACAACTTTTTCCCCAGGTGAGAAAATTATTTATCCACCTAGAAATGGGTATTACTTAAAAAATTATCCATAAACCCCACATAAATCTAAACAAAATGGGTATCTTGGTCAATGAAAACCAAAATCCCATTGACCAACTTCTCCCCTCCCAAAATCCAAAAAATGAACAGGCCCTTGGAAGCAACATAGTTCATTCAATCAAAGGCATAGTGAAATATGGAAGCCTTGAAAGATGGACAATCCACTTGGGGTTTCTATTAGTGGGATGGGAGGGAAATAGCTCTCACCAATGCAAGGCATGAAGAACATAGATCCCAAAACATCATATAGCTTAAAGGAAAATATAAAAACATTTCGAACACAGTAGAATGATCATGTTTAAAGGCAGGAAACCATGTTTCTTGCATGTTGAATATGCGTTTGGATAATCAATGCAAAAGTAACATTGTCCTTTTGCTCACGTTTGGAGAATACCCGTTGATGTAAAATCTTCATCCCGCTTTTTACAAACCACTCAGTACAAAACTTAAAGGCTGTTGGCAAGATGGCAGGAGGTTCAGAGGCCCTGCCTGTGCAACCGAAGTGGCAAAAGGAGCTACTATTTGCTCGTATTCTGCCAGGAGTGTGTGCCTGCATTTTGGGCATAAGGAAAGAAATGATGCAAGCTAGGTGCTCATCTCCCTTCTAGATGACGATGAAGAAATGGTTTGACAATCATTTCTTTTCAGCCCAAGAGAAAAATCAGCCCTAGGCAAGCACCTACCTCCACATCTCATTAACGCCATCTCCACATTTGAGGTTTTAATAGTTTGTCTGTGGCGATGTCACACAATAACACCCAAGCCAAATCTTGATCAAACCATCAATTCGATCACTGTTGTCAATGCACAAGACAAATATCTATAAGGCCTCCTCAATATAGTTCATAGAAACCAAAAAGTCTAATATCCTAAGTACTTGAGCACAATGAACTACGAAATTCATAATATGAAAGTATGGGGTGTGATTGCTGGGACACAAGTATCTCATCCATTTCTTTGATTATGAAATAGAGAACAAGAAATTCATAATATGGGGTTTTTAAATTTTAACTGCTGGGATCTTGATTTGTGTTGCATTAGTTGTGTACGAGCAACCACCTCCCTTTCTAGAGAAGAATTCAAATTTCAGACTTCTTATGTGTGTTACACCAAATACCACCTGCCCTGAATCTATTACTCCAAATTTCAGACTTCTTAATCCATGATACATACTCAGTGATGACATGACACCTAATGGTCCGTTTGGTTGCCGAGAAAGGATGGGATGGGATGAGAAAGGATGTGATGTGAAGGGAATTTTTTTTTTTCTCAATCTTGTCACCTGTGTTTGGTTGTTGAGACTAGTTATCCTGCCAAATCTGTTTCCCAGTGTTTGATTGTTGAGAAAATTTTATAGGATTGTTGGATCCATCCTAATTAAAGTGACAACTCACAGTCTCTCCAGACCTACTGAAATGGAATCCCATTGTTCTATTCCTAACATTGTGTGCTAATATGTATAAAAATCTAGTAACTTGTTCCTCTACAGTACTTTGTAACATGTCATTCAATTAGCCGGTTTCTCGGCCGATGGAGCCCAAGAAGCTCAATAGAGAGAAAAAGTGATTTCATATATAAGCTATGAAAGAACAAGTTAAGAATAAATGGCCCACACCATTGTGGCTTTGTACCAAAGTGTTTACAGATCTATTTGATGAATCTGCCTAAGAAAAAAATTAAGAGTAAATGGCCCACACCATGAAAGAACAAGCAACCATAACTACTGTTCTCCTTTATGCATATACTTATTTTTTTTGTGTGTTGATTTTAGTCAATTTGTCTATATCTAGAAAAGAGAGTGTTTCTCAATCTTAATTTCTCAGAACATGTTATGTTTCTTATACTCATCATATTATAAAACTTTAAGTTACAGAATTTTGCTTTTGTCAATTGCCATAGCCATCTTCAGTGTTGCCATTGATAAAGAGAAGCAAGGTTTGGAAGCCTTTGCTCACAATACTTCAGACTGTTCTGCACTTAATTTGTAAACTTTCACAATTCAAAGCATAATGTTAATTATAGAGGGCTCGCATATTGACATATTCCATTTTCTGTATAGATTTTGAGTGGAAACTCATATATGTTGGGTCGGCAAAGGAGGAGACCTATGATCAATCTGTTGCTAGGTTGATCCACTATCATTGGTTTAATGGTGGTGCTGTTGACTTGTTCTTACCTTGGACAGGAGTTCATTAGAGTGGGATACTATGTGAACAATGATTATGAGGATGAGCATCTGAAAGAGGAACCACCCCCAAGGGTGGTTATTGACCGGGTCCAAAGAAACATCTTTGCTGAGAAACCCGAGTAACCAAGTTCCCCATCAACTTCCATCCAGAAACATAGTGAGAGAAGATAACAACCTCCACCTCCCTCTTAGCCAATTTTTTTACCATTTAAGGTGAAGGGGTGAAAAGATTCATATACCTAGTAACAAAGGAATTCAACAATTCTTGTGCACAATTGGTGATAGTTAAGCATACATTTGATTCATATACCCAATCGTGCTTCCAACAGTTTAGCATACATTTGATTAGGAACTTTCATTAAAAATTATTTATTTTGAACACCACATATATTGATTCAATCCTACATGCAGACTATGTAAAGCTTGATTCAAGAAACTACTGTTAAATACAGAGTATTATTGAGAAAATAACACCCAAACCATCATATACTACTGCTATTCATCATCATTTGCAACAGAGTATTCAATACCCAAATCAGTATATACTACTCCACTACAAAAAATGAAAACCCCTTGCGTGGGTTGACTGAGATGCAGTACCTTAGCTTGAAAACCCCTTGGGTTCCTTGAGATAACCTGAAACACAACAAAAAATGAAAACAAAAAAAAAATATAGATATGAGTTCGAGCATTATTGAGAAGAAGACAAATGTATTTGAGACCAAATCTACAACACAAGAAATCTAACATAGACAAATGTATTCGAAACCAACACCATCAGATCTAACGACAACTCTGAAACAAATATATAACACATAGCAGATCTAGAAAAAGGCAGATACCAGATGATAGATTTGGAGCTTCGGCCTTAAAATAAACGCCTTCAATGGTAGATCAGACGTATTTTTGGATTTAGATGACCATAGATGGCTCTAGGCGTTGGGAAAATATCGTGGGGAGCTCATTCATGAAAATAGGTAAAAATGGTACAGAAACGAACGAAAATCGTGAGAGGAACCCAAATATGAGCTTACCTCCGAGAAAGATCGCCAGAGATGGCACCGGTGAGAATATGGTTGGACGGCGGCTGAGAAGAAAGCAACGCTAACTTGCCTCCTTCGATAAAATTTTTGCAATTGTTTCCTTTCGTAGTGAGGTCGCACCTATTTGGTGAGACCCTGTGTCCTAAAAATTGAGAACTCAATTCTCATCGCATCTCATCATTTCGCTCAAAACAAACGTGAAAAAATAGGAATCTTTGAAGAATATTCCTATTTTTCCATCCCGTCGCACAAACCAAACAAACTGTAAGGTTAATGCTATGTTGGAATGACAGATTATGGTGCACAAGGTATACAATAGGGTGGCATTTGGATGCACTTTGAATTCAGATTTCAACGCCATTTTAAATCATTAGGATCTTTCTAATGTACAATTTCTACCAACTTGACAACATTTCTAACAGGCCAAATCGACATAAACAGCTATCATAGAAATACACAATCATGTTTCTTCGAGTCACTACTCCAAACATAGGTAAGTAAAGGCCTTTCAAGTTTTAACAATAATCATATACTAAAAATATGTTTGAAAACAGAAGATATAAGGTTGGAGGAATTAATATGGGTGGAAGGTCTCTTCACCAACTTAGTCGAACTTTGTAAAGCTTCATAAGTGATGGGTAAAATAAAGGCCTTTCAATTTTTGCACTTTCCCGCAACATAAAACCAGAACTCCAACCTGTAGGCATCACACAAGAAATTTAAGTAGATTACAATTTATAATAAAAGTGAATAGGGCATATTCTATTGACATTTATTTTTATGCTAAAATGGAGGCTTTTTTGGGTTGAAAGCATATATACTCCAATTATTTCCACTCCCTTCAATAGTAAGAACTAAATTATAAAGAAACCACACATCAAAATCCCCAATAGAGACTTTACTCCAATGATGCAATGGTAGTAAAATGAACAACAGTTCTTGCCTCCTTGGTCTCCAACTTTGGTATGCTAAAACACCTTTCCTGTTTTTGCATTGAAGAAGTAAAATGCTTAGCCCAAGGCAGCTAAAAGAATGAAAAGATGGATAAGGAATCAATGACAGCCCAAACAGATGAGATGAGTTATGTAAGTTTTTGTTCACAGTAATCCATAACCCAACTCTCCTCACCACCCTTCTCAGCAAACTCTTATTCTTTTATAGCTTTGATTTAAAAAAATAAAAAATAAAATATGTTGTTTCTTTTGGAGCAAATGGACCAGATAAATATTTAATAAAGCATAGCTCCATGAACAACAATAAAAATCAATAAGTTGAAACAGAAAGAGAAAAGTGCTTTCTATATGCTTCATAATGCATACAAATACGAAGAATCAACATAAAATTGACATAGGCATTGGTTAGCTCTTCATACCGGTATTCTCTTTAATATCCAAGCTTGAAATTCCAACAAAACAGATTTGGTTTCTTTTCATAAAATGCTTTGACAAATCCTCCTTTCTAGTGCTCAATCGGATAATCCATCTTATTCTATGGTGGAAAAAACAACTCAAAGAGCTAATATAGCAACCAAGCAATGAAATTAGTGCTGCTATAAACTTTAATTCCATTGTAAATAAACCCAGAAGAGAAGTGAAACTTTCCATTAGTCATTTGCATATTGGAAATTGAGCATCCCAAGACTTCAATGAAAAGAGTGGATTTAAACTAGATGAAACATTCAAATCATAAAATCAAAAGAAGAAGAAGAAGAATAGAGGTTGACTGCAAGTTTCATATTCGAAATTACCTCTACTTGTTGCCTCTAGTTGCTAGAGTTCAGTGAGTTGATTTACTTTGTTTCTACGTTGAACTGGTCACCTCTTTGGTCAGTATACATCATTCATCCTTGTTGCTACAGTAGAAGACTTTCAATCAAAGGAAGGGTCTCTCAATTTTTCCCTCATTTTTACTTTCTTTTCTCAAGGGAAGTGGTTTCCGACCGAAATGAAAGAATCATGTTATCTCATTTTGATGATTCTAAATCCTCACATTTTCTTTTATTTTCATCACTTGTGGTCAAACCAAACAAGGTAAGATTTGAAACCTTTTGGAATATTCCGAATTTTCCCTTCCTTTCCTTCAAACCAAATATATATCCTAAAGGATTTATCATGCAGCAGATTTTTTAGAGTATTTAAAGAGTTCGATGAAGTACCCTTTGATACTAGATGCAATCTCCTCACAATTAGAGGTCCATTGGTTGCTATCATTCTTGAGACAATAAATTACATTTCTCCTTTTTCTCTTTTTGCTGATGGTATGGAAATTCCTTGTATATCTAATTTCGACAAGCTCATTTATGCCAGTAAATTTCCTTCCAAACTTTAGGCTTACCAGATAGTCTTTTCTTTTCAAAGTAAAGGTTGTTTGGTATATAGATTGTAATTGGGTCATTTTTTTTTTCAAAATAAAGGTTGTTTGGTTTAGGTTGTAATTGGGTCAAATTCAGATCAAGTCTACTCATATCTGAATCCAATCCCATTTTTGAAACTTCAAATCTGAATTCGATCCAAATATGATATATTAGAGTTGGATTGGATTTGGATTTAATCTTTGTATGTTTAAAAAGTAAAGTTACAAGTTAAGAAGAGAACCAAGCTTAACCGACATGTTTTTGCCTCATTAGGCATGTTTGGTAGATGGCAACTCCTAAAACCCCATACGAGTTTTCACTTTTCATGCTCAAAGTAGTCTAGCTCAAAGGTAAATTATCAATTCATCATCTACAAGGCCTCGATTTGAACCTTCCAAAACCCTTAATACCAAAAGATAATTGAGGGGTGTTCGATAACATGGCATGTTCTTGAACTCTATTTTTGTTTTGAAAGGCAAAAACAAATTGATTTTTTTTTTCAAAAAAGAATGCATGTTTTGGAGAACATCAAGGAGGCATTCTACAATGTGAGTTGTTTTTCTTGTTGTGGGTTTCAAAAAACAAATCAAAACCATCTAGTTTGAAAATGGATTATTTCTCAAAGCAAAAAGACAGAAAACATGTTCTTGGTTGTATATGTATATTTTGTTTTCAAAAAATGAAATGCAAAAACATGTTTTGGATTCGCAGCTTCAAAAAACATGTTTTCATCTGGTTATTTAATATCATATTACATAAATCACATAATTTCTATATTACAAAATTAGTTTAAATTTTAAAAATCATTATTTTGATGGCTTCAAAAATATGTATTGGTTTTTCAAAAACAAACCTACTTGTTTTTGCCTTTGAAAACAAAAACAGACTTCAAAAACTTTATTTTTGATGATGTAGTGATTTCAAAAACAAATAAAAACAAAAACATTCATGTTTTAGAACACGCCCAAAATAATGGTTTTTAAAACAAAAATACATTTTGTAGTGTAGAAATTCTGAGTTATGAAATGTAATATTAAATAAATAGATGAAAAACATGCTTTTGGTTTTAGTTTTAAAAACAAAAAACACATGCACAACCAAAAACATGTTTCTATGTATTATTGTTTTGAGAAACAATTTGTTTAAAATCAGATGGTTTTGATTTGTTTTTAAAACCACCAACAAGGAAAGACAACTCAAATTGCAGAACACTCCCCTAACTTAACACTTGTGCAAACTTTGAACTCCAAATTTCGTTTTCATTAAAACTTTGTAGTATCGTGCCCACCCTAATTGAAATTGCAGGGAAAGTTCATTGTTATTTCCCAAATTTGGTAGTGTTGTCCAAATCCCTTTCTTTCTTGCCGAAACAAAACCATTCATATTGTGGAACTTCTCCAATGTAAATGCACTGATGCAGGATTTTGAACTTCTCCAAATTTTGTACTGTTGTGCCCACCCTAAGGTTGTGTTTCTTTCTCTTCCTTTCCCTACCTTTACCTTCAAACCAAACACAGCCTAATTGAAATTGCAGAGAAAGTTCATAGTTATCTCTGAATTATCTATTTTAATCAAAGAATCAGCTCAGCAATTTTCCCCGAGTTATATTATTCCCACGGCATGAAAACTACCTCTGATAAGGCCCGCTGGATGAATAGGGCCCGTTTGGCGTATTTTTTTGGGAAGATCTTCTAGTAGTTCTAACACGTAAAAGATGTATTGAGCTTTTGCATAAAGATCTGAGCAGCCTGAAGTACGTTTGGCAAACTTGTGTCTTTCCTCGCGAGATTAAAACACAAAAGATGCGAGAAGTTTCATTTGAAGCTTCCCAAAATCAGCCCAAAATGAGCTTCTCGCGTCTTTTCGACATTCCGTCTTTTGACAGCTAGATCTTCTGTACGCTAAATGAAAATAGACCAAAATTTGGTTTTCGCGGCTTGTAAACAGCCGAAAGACCGCATGGAAAGACATGCCAAACAGGCCCGATCAAGTTGTGGCTTAATGCAATTTAATAAGATCCATGGCATCCTCTAATGCGTGCTGTGCCCACCTTAGTCTCCTCGTGGAACAATTTTCTGAGCGAAAGATTCTGAACAACTTAATCTGCAGCTCAGCTGCTTGGGTGCTTAAAATTTTGTGTATTTACGAAAATATTCAACTCCATTAGGTGAACTTGGTTTCCATGAAGCCATTCTTTTGCACAAGAAGTTATTTTCACATTTATTCTGGAATGTAATACACAGCTGGTGTCTGTTCTTCACAAAAATTCTGAACCTTAATTGGCTCAATGCACTGCAAGCAAGTTCAGTATCCTTAATCTGGAAGAAAAAAAAATAAAGCAAGAGCTGGTGTTTTTTTTTTTTCCTCTTTTAGATAGAAAGGAAGAACTCGAGTTTGATTGACAAACTTGTTCAAGTAGTAATCCATGGTAAAAAGAAAAGATCAATTCAGTATTAGACACAATCCAAAACATCAGCTCCTCCTATCAACATATGGGGTCTGATGAAACTGTGATTGTAGATTGTAGAACTAATTAAGCAGAAAGCAAACTTGTAATTATCTTAGACCTCTCTGAGAAATCCGAAAATATAAGCGTCAGTTCAGATTCCGGTATTGGAAACAAGGGCAGAAGCATCGGATCAGGTGGCTACCAACGTTAACGACACATCCGAAAAGACCAGCTCTTCTTTCTGTTCGAGTGACAGATACAAGAGGTACGCCATAAACAGGGCTTGGAGCCATATATTGCTGATAGGAGGAGCTGACAGGAAAAGGAGAAAACAGAGTAGTTACCTCTGACGCAGCTTCAAACTGATGAGTATGAGATGCAGGAGGATCTGAACCACTAGGCGGCCACAACCCAGATACCGAAGCGGGCTCCTGCGTCTGATCAAAGTCCACCCAGGAAGGTAAAGGCGGAGCTGAGGGTTGATTTGAGCAGTAACAGCAGGAACAGTGGAGTGCTGGAGGAGGAGAAGGCTGAAGGGCATGAGTCTTTCTTTTCTTTTTCTTGTTTCTTGACCAGACTTTGAGCTTTTTGAGAGCCTTTATCATTCTGTGATCTGAGTGGAATTTTGCTCGAACCTTGAAGGGGTTAAAGAGGCGAAGGAGAGTGAAATAGGTTATTTAAGAAGAGAAGAGAGAGCTTCAGGCTTCAGATCCTGCTATCAATCAGTTAAAGGAAACTGACCGTTGCTTCTCCTTTATTTGTTTTTAATGCAATCCAGCTAAACAAAACATGGGACCTTCTCCTTTATTTTCGGTCACCCACATTTGAACTTTCTGTTGCTTGTTCAAACGTTGGGCTTGATTTCAAAGAATCAATGATTTTGATTGGAGAGGCTCTGTTTGGATAAGCCTTTTTGCATTTGAGTTTTAGGCTATAAAATATAAAATTGAGCGGAAAAGAAAGGTTTTGAGCCTTTAATAAGAGTTTTTTTTGTACTTAATAAAACACACACACTAACATGCCAATCGAACCACAACTCGGTTGGTTTTTAATAAGAGTTGGCACCAAAAGAAGAGCCTTTAATAAGATTTCTTTTTAAAAACTTTATAATATGAAACTTAAGTGCCTGTTTGGGATATAGATACATAGGGGGCAAGTCAGGCCGGGCTAAGTTGGGTTAAGGTCAACCCTAATTAGCCCAATCCGAAGCTTTCAGGTTGGATTTGGATCAGGCTAGGTTTGGGTTGGCCCAACTTCTCTACTTTCATATGTCAAATGTCATGTAAAACTGAAATAGAAGGAGCCCTCTAATGTTCCTTAGCTTTTCATTTTCAGTAGAATATTAAATCATCTTAAGAAGAGCCCCTAATTGATGATTTATGGGTTTCTTCACAAAACTTAAATTAATTACATGTAGATGTTGGGCATGAATAACTAAAAGTCCTATTGAATTTTCTATGAATATTTACATAAATAATATTTAAATAATTTAATTTAGAGTAATTATTAATAACTAATTTTACTCCAATTAAGTTTAAAGTTAGGAAAAATTCCCAATTAGTACCCTATACCTTGGGCGTAGAGTCATTTTGGTCCCTGAACTTTCAAATGCGACAATTCAATAACCGAACTTTTAAAATGTGATAATCCAGTACCTGCCATTAAATAGTTGTTAAGCAGCAATTAAGTGGCATTTGAAAAAGATACAAATGCCCTTCAAGTGTTACTTAATTTTCTTTGTCAACCATATAAACGTTGACAAAAAATTAATAGTCCCAAATCCTTACCTTTTCCATTCAAGAAAGTTGGGGTCACGTTTGAGTGGGCATTTTGGTAACCCCAACTTTTTTGAATAGAAGAGGAAAGGATTTGAGACTGTTAGTTTTTTTGTCAATGTTTGGATGGTTGATAAAAAAAATTAGATGACACTTGAAGGACATTTGTATCATTTTCAAATGCCACTTAACAGCTGGTTAACAACTAGTTAACAACAGGTACTGGATTGTCATGTTTTGAAAGTTCGAGTATTGAATTGTCACATTTTAAAGTTCGGAGACCAAAGTGGCACTAGGCCCAAAGTACAGGGTACTAATCGGGAATTTTCCCTTAAAGTTAAGTTACAGTAAATACTAAAGTTTAATTAAGTTAACTTTAGCATAATTATTTTTCTTTTTATTTATTTTAATTTAAGATTAAGTAATTTTAATTTTAATTTTCCATGCTATAAGTTAATTAAGTACTAGTATATCCTTTAGTAACAATACACCTTATCGTATATTAATTGTAGCTTAATTAATATTAACAGGGAAATCTATGATGCCAAAAAAGATGATAGCTGAAGAGTTTTGACCACTCCAAGCCCACCCTTGAATTTTGATAGATACCACTTGATTGGTCACCACATTTTGTGATACTAGTTGATTGGTCACAAGTTTTTGGAATGATATCTTCCTGGTATCATAGTCGAACTCATAATAATATTAACCACAACACCTTCGACAATGTAAACCTAGGATCATAGTGATCTCTACATCTTCCTTATCGCTTTTACCCCTTTGTGGTATCATTATAGTCAACAAACTTGGATTTGGAGGGCTTGATATTGAAGTCAAGAATCCAAAGCTAAACGAAGACACTAATTACATGTTCATCGAGATATAATTTGGTCGTGACCCTTCTAATCCTCATGATATTGTTGACATTGAGATCAATCATTAGGGTGTGTTTGGTTCGTGGACAGGACCGGAATCGGAATCATCTATTCCTGGCATCTGTTTGGTTCAATCCAAAATTGGAATCCGATCTTGATTCCTGTTGTTTGATTCAACTAGAAACTTGAAGCGGAATCCGATCCTCTTGCTCCAATTAAATCAAAAAAAATAAATATGATCCAATATATTACGCACTTTCACCGCCACCCAATTGGTTGACAGCTTCTACAGAGCTCTCATAGAGGTCTGGGGTCCAATGCATACGTTGCTTGTTTGGAACACCTGTTGGATAATGGGGTCTCAGTAACTTTGGATGAGAAGTTCTGAGACGCATCTGAAGACACTGTCTTTAGAACGTTATTTGCCCCCACTCAATTTTACCAAGTTTGTTGTTGGGTTACAAGCAAATCCGTTCCCAGGATACAACAAAGCTTTGGGCGAGAATCTGCAACCAGCAAAGTTGAAGAATCTCCGAATAAACCTTCTGTGAGACTATAGTAGACCGGACTGAGAGAGAGAGAGAGAGAGAGAAAGTGGATTTCAAAATTGTGTGTTTTTTAAGTCTGATTCATGCTCCTTACATAGTTTATGAAGAGGTATGAAGAAAAGGTAGGTGCTGGTTTAGAGAAGGCACCTTGAATCATGACTGTTAACTTTGAATTGTGCCTCTTGATCACACTCGATCGAATCATGACCGTTGATCTCATCAACGGTGATCAACGGTCAGCATTGCACCAAAACCAAAGCCGCCCTTCACGAGCCACGCGAGTGCGCGCGAAGTGTGAGCAAAGTGCGCCTCTAAAGCGCCTCATTGCGCCACACACACGCGTGCGTGCATGTTGCACGATATCAAACCCCCATACTCTCCTCTACTATTTCTAAAGAGTGTAAAATCAACTCCTATTAAAATACTGAAAACAAAGCTTATAATTTTCCAATGTGGGATAAGTTCAAAACTGGGTTTTGTAAGAGAAAAGCTAATTTTTCAATCAAGTGTGTAGGTGCAATTTCTCATGTAATTGACCAATCATAAGAGATTAAAATCCAACAACACCGGTGACTGATGAAGAAGAGCTAGCCACAGACGAAAGTTCTCCAGAAAGAAGAGGAATCTACTGATGAACTTGAGGCTGCTGCACCAAGAAATTTTGAGGGGGTTTCAGTGCCTGATGTGCTGTCTAAATAGAATCAGAAGAAAATAAAGGACAGACATGAGTTCCACAAGTACCCCTTTTTCTTTTTAAAAATGGATAGAAAAAGAAGATTTATAACCTTTACCCTACATATATACTGCAATACCTTTGGATAAATAATTAAAAAACTAACCTCTAGTTCAGTATCTGCAACATTGGTGTCAGCAAGAAGGTCATTCCAATTTGGGGTTAAAGGGTCATCATCCCTGTTTAATTGGTCTGCCCATTCCTGCCAATCACTTTGTTTTGTATTATCATCAGATGGCATGATACCACTGTTACTACTCTCTACTTGATTGTTCTGGGTAGGAACATTTTCAGGAAAATCAAGGAAACTCTACAACTGATCTACAGACTAGGAAATATCGTTGTTCTCTCTAGGGTAATGACTCATTGGCCTAGATTGAAATACTCCTGAATGAGAAGAATGTGTTAGTGGCAAAGATATCCCATCACTCAATGACTGAGAAATGAATGGAGCATTTGTAGAATGCCTCTCATGGGGTGCTGAAGAGAAATGGACATCTGTTGTGAACCTTGAAGCTGATGAAAACATGTGCCCAACCACCCCACTGTTGGAGGCCAATTGAGTTGCATGTAGAGGCAAAAAATTTGCCATTATTTCCCTTTCCAATGAAACCTGTTGGGAATCTGGCAATTTGGGATACTTCTCTTCCAGAGGGGTGGAAAGAACTAGTAAAGATGAAGACATGGCTCCAGATGCTACCAAGTTACTGAGCTGCCTTGCACCAGATCTCTGAAAGGATAAAGTAGTGTATTCCTCCATTATTTTCCATATATCAAGAAATGAAGATTCATCCACCTAATATTGGTTTGCTATGGCTCAACAATTCTGTTTTAATAATACTCACCAAATTAAGCCCCTATTAGCAGCTTCATTGCAGAATCCACAATGTAGTACTACAGAGCTCTCATCAGTTTTGGCATCTGTTAAAAGAATGCATGAATGCAGAATATCAATAAGCAAGAATCACCCTAGAATGTAAGATATTTGCCTTGGAGAAGATATTGAATAAACTGAAATATACTCTCAAGTTTGAATGGCATAACAACCAACCCTATACACATGATAACATTATTGACAACACCCATGAATTAATGATATTCTCAAATCTCAACGCAAGAAAAAAGTCAACTTTATAAATGAATTTAGAGCAACATAAAGGAGAAGCTTCATACGTGAATCATGAACTCTAGTATAGATATTTTATATACAGAATGATAATTCCACCAGAAATGGCCTTGTTTTGCACTACCAGTGCCAAGCCCAAACAAGTCCCTTGGGTAATGGTGCAGTTGTAGAGACAGCCGATAGAAGGATCCTTGTGCTACAAAGAAGCAATAATGTGGGGGAGTTTCCTGGATACTTTGTTTTTCCCGGTGGCCATTCAGAGGTATCACTTGTAAAATTTAAAATCTATCACCAAAAATAGTTTCATAATTTTCATAGTTGTCTGATTTCTGATCAAAAGTTTATGTTCTATTTTCTGATCCATGTATCTGCACTTTTTTGCCACCAATCTTTCCAGTGGCAATAGTTTTCCTTTGCCGTTGGGCCTTAGAACTTGGGATGTGTGCTCTTCCTGTTTAGTTTATGATTTCCAATTTTCCACTTGTTTATAGGTGGTTGCTCTTTTTTTTTGCCTAGCGAGTGAGCCTATCTTACCAGTGACCTAAATTCCATGAACATTTGCCCTCTATGAAGGGAAGGGAGATCTATCATATGGAAGGCCGAACCATGCAGGGTGGCTGGGCGAAATTTCAAAAATATTCTTTCTCCCTTCCGAGAATCACATTCCCTATTTTAGAAAAACTG